TCTGGGAAGAACTCTCTCTGTTGTGAGTGCGTGTTTGTGCACGTGAATTTGTTTGACTCAGGGCAACAAATGTATAGATGTGCTTTACACAATTGATCTATGTATTGTGATGAATTGTATGAGCCCCAATAAATTGATTAAAAAAAAAAAAAGCCCTTAAATGTGAAAATCTTGGTGAGTAGGTAAAGGGGAGTTTGTGTGTGCTTGTGTGTATGTGTCTGTCTTTGGTTTGAAAAGGTGGTGATGAGAAATCTAGTACCACACATTTTATTTGAATTGCGACCTCAATATTATTAGTCTCTTAACAGTGAATTTGGGAGAGAAGGTGTGGGCCATAAGAACGAGAATATTACACATTCATTACCTATTTATGTACCATTTATTGTGTTCCTCCTTAAGATTTAATAATTTAAGGTTTTGTTTCTAGGGTAACCAGCAGAACCTATTCAACAATCATGTATTTTGTTATAGTTAAATTATTTTTCATTGTAGATGTATACCACTTAGTTACATGATGGCATAAATAATTTTGTGAAAGGACAGCCTGAAAACCCAACTCAAAATTATTAGTGGCATAAGAAATTAATGTAGAACATTTTTAGATGATCTTTGTTAACAATTGAATACTTATGAGCTTATATCTCCTTTAAAAAGGCAAGACATTTGGTGTCTACTGTTTCATTAGAGATTGTGTTTCGTAGTGAATACAGTATCGAGTAGTAGATAAAACTATAGAGACATAAGTACTTCCAAGGTTTCTGATCTGTGGTTATTACATTTTCCGTCTGCTGGTATATTTGCCTTATCAGCCAGGTCCCATTTATTTAATGCCACGAGTCACTGCATTTATTTTTAAAAATACTTACACTCGTTTATTTTATGGTTGGTAGTGCGGTGCCCTTGAATTGGTTTCAGATCTTAGTGATTCTGTGTCTAGCTACCTGGTCCTGAGTCACCCTCATAATGGCTGCTGTGTTTGAGCTCATTGTTTCAGCTGTGAATCAGTCTATCTCTTTGAGGCTGGTCTTCTTTTTTTGCCAGTGCTCTGCTTGACCATGCACTCTGCCCTTTTCCAGGGACTGGTCCCTGCCACCTGATAACATATTCAAAGTATGTGAGCCAAAGTCTTCCCATCCTCGCTTCTGAGGAGCATCTGGCTGTGTTTCCTCCAAGGCAGATCATTCGCTTGTTCTTTTCGCAGTCCGTGGCAACACCATAATTCAGAAGTTTCAGCTTTCCCTTGGTCTTACTAATCATCTAATTTTATGGTTACCCTGATTTAGTTCATTGTACGTGTAATTCTACTAGAGAATGAAGTGCTATTATTTCTCCTCATAAGCGTCATTTATCCATTGTTATGAGGAGACAAGTTTTTAGATGTCAAACGAATAAGATTGTAGTTAGTATTTTATTTTGGTTGATGACTGGATTTGGTGCAAAAAAGACCCCAAATAGACAGTTTTTGTAGACTTTTACTCCCAAGAGCTGATTGATAGTGAAGGTTTCTGACCCATGGACTACTTCTATATGATGATTAAACCAAGATTATATATAGATGTGACCTGACCCTAAGAAGAGGATTTAAATTTTAAATATTTATCTACTATGGTACAAGTAGATAATGGATGCTCAATACAGTGTGAAACTATATTTCTAACTCAAACCATGGATTAAGAATATGAAAATGTATTATACCTTTCAAGTAGCATGGTTTATATAATTTATTAAAAGAAAATATTTTCTGTATATACAAAAGAAAACAATAGATATATGAGTTATGATACAGGTCACTGATTAACCTTATACCAAATCTCAGAAATAAAACATTACCAATATGTTAAATAACATACCTGTGAAAACCTTACTATGCTGTTCATCCCCAAGAAGTGATAGTATCCTGATTGTACTAATGGTACTCATATAGTATCTGGTATGCCCTTGCTTCTTATAGTAATAGTTTTTACTACAATATATCATATGGTTTTATTTACTTTTGAGTTTTATAAAAAAATATATAAGGTCTCTGTACTTTTCTGTATCTTGCTTTTTTTTTTTTTTTAAACTCAGCATTGTTTTCCAGATTCATGCATCTTGAGGATGCAATTTTGGTTCATTTTCACTACAGAATGATTAACATTAAAGAATATACAATGGTTTAAGTTTTCTTTCGCCACTGGATTTCGGGGTTCTTAAAAGATTTTTGCTCTTCCCAGCAAGGTTGCCATGTATGCTCTTGAATAGATCTTCTAATATACACATCTGTAACTGTCATTAGAAGTGTAATTGATATGTAGACAATTAGTACCTAGTTGCTAACCAGAATTTTGGTGGTACAAACCCAACAGCTACTGCTCGAGAGAAAAGGCCTGCGGTCTGCCTCTATGAGAATTACAGCTAAGGGGACTCTGGGGAACATCTATTCTGAACTGTAGAGCCATGGTGAGTCGAAGTAAATGCAAAGGCTCTACAAGAACCAGCGGGTCTGTAACTGTTCAACCCTCCGAGCTAGAAACAAATGTGATTGTGGTGATGTTTCTAGCAGTGCTCGTCACTCTGAAATCCCTATTAATCCATTTGTTAGCCTTTCCCCGTCCTGTGCGTTTAGAACATTATTCTGGTTTACTTTATGAGCTCCCTATTATCAGTGAGGCTAAAAATCCCTGAAAATATCTCTTTATTTGACATTTTCTCCCCTTTATGAAATATCTTTTAAAGTTCCCCTTTCAATAGAGGTTGATTTTTATGTGGTGATTTTATCAAGTCTTTTTAAAAACAATTAGTGTTTAAACCTTTTTGTATGCTTCATTATGAGATTATTAAAAGAAAAATCTGTATTTTTTCCTGAAAGTTAGGTTTGCCTTTCATATATTATTTAACCCATTGAGAACGGACTCTTTTGTGTTGTATGTGGTGCCATTGTTGTCAGCTGCTATCAAGCCGGTTCCAACCTTAGGCGAAACAGAACCAAACACCGGCCTCATAATTGTCCCAATGCCGAGCCCAGTGTTACAGCCACGGTGTCAATCCATCTCTCTGAGGTAACAGTCATGATAAATGGAGAAAAGGCTGACGTGATCAAGGATTATGTCTTGCTTGCATATGCAATAAGTGCTCATGGAAGCAGCAGTTGAGATCAAAAGATCAGTTGCATTAGATAAACCTCCCGCACAAGACCTCTTTAGAGTATTGAAAAGCAAAGACGTTACTTTGAGAACAAAGGTGTACTTACCTAACCCAAGGCATGGTATTTTCACTTGCTTCATGTGCATGTGAAAATTGGACATTGATTAAGGAAGACCAAAGAACTGATGCATTTGAATTGTGGTGCTGGAGAAGAATATTGATAGTACCAAGGACTGCTAAAAGGACAAACTGATGGGTCTTGGAAGAAGTAGAGCCCGAATAGTCCTTAGAGGTATTTTGGACTTGTTGTTAGGGGAGATCAGTCTTTGGAGAAGGAAGGGCATCATGTTTGGTAAAGTAAATGGAGTGTGAAACGAGGAAGGCCCGGAACAAAAGGAATTGACACAGTGGCTGCAACAGCGGACTCAAACATAAGGATAATTTTGAAGATGGCACAGGACCGGCATTAGTTCATTCCGTTATACGTAGGAGTGCTCTGAGTTGGAGCCAGTGTGACAGCACTTCACTAGCAACAGTTCACAGAAGTGGATTTATGTATTTGTGATCTTAGGTATCTGGATTCTTTCATTATCAGCATTGTAGTTTGTATTAGTAGTTTGTTTCTTTTATAGCTGAATACTTTTACATTGCATAGATCGCTCATATTTAATTTATTAATTCAGCAGCTAGACATTTGGGTTATTTCCATTTTTTTAGGTATTATGAATAATGCTGCTGTGAACATTCCCAAGCAAATCTTTGTGTGGGCATATGCTATCCTTTCTCTTTGGTGTAGGTACCAAGGAGTGGAATTGGTGGGTTGTATGGTAGTTTTGGAAGCTTTGATGGCATAGTGGGTTATACATTGGACTGATAACCACAAGGTCTGTGTTTCAAACCCATCAGTCGCTCAGCAGGTGAAAGATAAGGCGTTCTGCCTGCTCCCTTATAAATTTACAGCCTAAGATACCCATAGGGCAGCTCTGCCATGCTCTGTAAGGTCGCTGTGAATTGAAATTGCCTTCATGGCACTGAGCTTTTGCTTTTGTTTTCTTTTCTTTTTCTGGCGGTCGTTCCATATTCCATAGTGGTAGTCAAATTGACTGCATCATTTTACTTTCCTACTGAAGAATATGAAGGATCTAATCACTTGATGTCCTTGCTGATACTTCTAATTGTCTTTATGAAGTGGTATCTATACATTATGCTTTTAATTTGCATTTTTCTATTGACTAATGATATTAAGTATTTTTCATTTTCATTTGCTTGTTAGCTTTTCAAAGAACCCTGGCGGTATAGTGGTTACATGTTGGGCTGAAATCTGCAAGGTCAGCAGTTCAAACCACATTGTGGCCTCTCTGACTGAGGTAGAAAGATGGGGCTCTCTACTCCCTTGAAGAGTTAGTCTGGAAACTCACAGGAGCAGGTTACCCTGCCTATGTTGTTAGCTTTTCATGGGTACCGTATATACTCGTGTATAAGCCGAGTTTTTCAGCACATTTTTATGTAGTTTTTGTGGTAAAATTAGGTGCCTCCGCTGATACTTCAGTTGGCTTATGCTTGAGTATGTATGGGAAAAATGTCTGTTCACATCTGTTGTCCATCTTTTAACCAGTTGCCTTTTTTATTATTTCCTTGTAAGAGTTCTTTATATTGTCAGAAAATCATGATGCAAATAACTTGTCTTCTTATTTTCTAAATAGTATCTTTTGAACTAACAGGTTTTAAATTTTGATGAAGTCCAATTTATCATAAACATGATATTTCATGGATCTTATTTAAACCAAGGACACAAAGATTTTCTCTTATATAGAGGAGCTTTTGCTGTACATAGTCTATCCTAGGAAAAACAGTTTACATATACACATATCCTAATGATGGAGGATCAGTAAATGCACTTTTATTACAAACAGGAACAAGTTATTAGTGAGGTAATTATTGCTGAAATAACTGGCCAGAATATTGTCATTACTTAATCCTTTCACTATTTTACATATTCTTTAACATTTTTTCTTGTAAACTTCTTGGTTTTTTTGTGCTTTGTAAGCTGAGTCAAAGGAAATATTCACATTCATTTACAGTTGTCATCCTCTCTTAATGGATTTCTTTATCTCTTTAGTATTATCAACATAATACTTCTAATAATTCTATGAAAGCCAGGTATTTTGAGGTGTGTGTGTACTTAAGTAGTAGTCAATAGGAGAAATAATTTTATTTAAAGGTATTTTGTATTTCTCTTGAGAATAAACATACTTCTAAGATTATCATTAAATATCTCCCTGATTACAAAAAAACACAATTCATATAATTTTTCTGTGTTTCAGAAACCTTTTTCCAAAAAGAACAATGGAACTCAAATCAGTTGCCCATAGTGCTCCTGGTTGGAAATTATTTGGTAAAGTCCCTCCCAGAGAGAATCTTCAGAAAACTTCCAAAATCATTCAACAGGTAAGTAGTAATATAGCCATATATTAGACTTATCTTTGCAAGTCGTCTTTTCTTTATAATTAACCACCTTCTAGTATTACTATTTTTCTAGATATAAAACTTAGGCGTTATTAGATACTTGTAACAGCCATGTTAACATTTTAAAAAATTCTTTAAAGTACTAAAACTTTTATTTTCTTTCCCAATTATTTCTTGGACTAATTTTTTCCCCTTTTCACTTAGCTAATCACTCTGAACATGTACTTTGACTCACAACTGAATATGGCAGCATTTGCCAGTTGGCACAGATTTTCTAGGGTTGTGTTTGGTAGGTATGAAATCATGAAATAGCAAAGAGCAAGCAGGTTATAAACCAATGACTTTGTAAGTGAGAAGATGGGGTACACTATTTCTGATAATTAAGGATTCATTTTTCCGATAGTTGCATAAATGCCTGTATTCCTGTGTTCTCAAGCATTTCAGATCTTATTTGACTTGATTGTGAATCCGTCAGTACTAGATTACTGAGACTTGAAAGTAGAGAGACTGGATCAATAGACAGTGTGTACATATACATATACACACACACATTTAAATTACTTGATTGGGGAGTTCTTACAACTCTTAGAACATTCCATACATAAATTGTATCAAGCATATTTGTACACATTTTCTAAACATTTACTTTCTGTTTGAGCCCTTGGTATCAGCTCTCCTCTTCATCCCCACTCCCACCCTCGTGACCCCTTGATAAATTAAAAATTATTACTGCTTTCACATCTTACACCGAGCACGGTTTCCCTTAACCCACGTTTCCATTGCTCATCCCCCTGGGTGGTGGTGGTGGTGGTGGGGTGGGGGATTATGCGTTGTTCAGAAGGAAGTATACTGGGGTAAGTCAAAAAGTATTGCTGCTGGGTTTCTAGTTTATAAATGCATGGGTATCTGCCATACAAAACATATTTCAACATAACTCCATGATCAGTGGTTGACTACAGGCACATTCTCTCAGGAATACACTTGTCTTAGACCCTTTAGGGTACCTTCAACACCACCAGCTGCTCCTTGGGAGAAAGATGAAACTTTCTGCTCCCTGTAAAGAGTTACAGCCTCAGAAACCCACAGGGGGCTGTTCTGATATGTCCTATAGGGTTGCTTTCAGTTGGAATTAACTCGATGGCAGTGAATTAAAGAGTGAGTTTCAACAAAGGAAGGTCCAGTCGAAACATTGACTTCCAGGGAATCTGCTAAACCATTCAAGGCAGAACGATCAGCTCAGAAGGTGATACCAACTTTTTTAGTATCTCAAAGGGGGATAATCGTGGTAGCTTTCCTTGAAGGAGACAAGGAAATCACAATGTCTTATTAAAAAGAAGTTTTAAAAAAAATTTTAATAAATCACTTTATTGGGGGCTCTTACAGCTCTTAAAACAATCCATTTATTAATTATATCAATCACAGTTGTCTATATGTTGCCATCATCATTTTCAAAACATTTTTTTTTCTATTTGAGCCCTTGATATCAGCTCCTCATTTTTTCCCTCCCTTCCCCACCTTCCCACTCATGAGCCCTTGATAAATTATTAATTATTAGGGTCAAAATTGAGGAGCTGATACCAAGGCTCAAGTAAAAAGCAAATGTTTTGGTAATGATGAGGGCAACAAATGTACATGCTTGACACAGTGTATGTATGTATGGATTGTGATAAGAGTTGTATGAGTCCCCAACAAGTTGATTAAAAAAATTAATTCATTATAAATTATGATTTTCATATCTTACACCGTCCACTGTGTCCCTTCCCCCACATTTCTGTTGTTCGTCATCCTAGGTGGGGGGGCTGGGGCGGTTATAAGTTGATCAATGCTATCAGTTCTCCCTTTCTCCCCGTACCTTTCCCTTCATCGTATTGCTACTCCCATTATTGCTCCTGAGGAATTTATTTGTCCTGGATTCTGTGTCAGGAGCTCTTATCTGTCTGTACCAGTGTGCGTACTCTGGTCTAGCTGGAGTTGTAAGGTAGAACTGGGTCATGATAGTCAGGGGAGGAAGCATTAAAGCACTAGAGGAATGTTGTATGCTTCATCAAGAAGAAGTTTTAAGACAATTAAAAACTGGGAAAAAAAAGAAAATTAAAAACTGTATTGGTGAGGAAAAGGGCCAGGAGAGATGTAATCAAATGATGACTTGATTTCCCCCCATTCACCACAGTGTACCCCTCTCATTCTTCAATGGTAGGAGGGCTGTCCTACAAGAATTTCTTGGAGAAACCTGACCCTGTCAGTCTGACCTTGCCCCATCAGATTTCTTTCTGTTCTTCAAACTCGAACTTTTTAAAAAACTTATTTATTTATTTAAAATAATTTTATTAGGGGCTCATACAACTCTCATCACAATCCATACATACATCAATTGTGCAAAGCGCATTTGTACACTCATTGCCCTCATCATTCTCAAAACATTTCCTCTCCACTTAAGCCCCCCCCCATCAGCTCCTCATTTTTCCCCTTCCTCATGAACCCTTGATAATTTATAAATTATTGATTTGAGTTCTTTGAGGATGCCCAAACTGTCATTTTGATGTGGTATAAGTGAAAGAATGCAACATTTTTTTTGAGAAGTTGTTAGGAGGTAAAAGTACCACCAAAAGAAGTGTATAGACATAGATAGATGGAGGTTGTGTTGTGAAACTATGGCTTTACATTTGATATTAAAAAAATGTTTTCCATGATGTAGCAATATTTTTGGGGTGCTTATTCTCATATAATAAATAAGTCTTATTTCTGGTTTTCCCAATTGTTGACCAGATTTAATGTTACATTTATAAATGTTATATTAATCCAATAGTCATTACCCAAATGAGAAAAATCTTTTAGTTATTTATTAGAAAAATCTTTCCTTTAAGAATTTAGTGATAGGGAGGCGGGAGAAAGGAAGTGGGTGTTAACAAACCCAGGGACAAGGGAACAACAAGTGATCCAAAATCGATGGCAAGGAAGATGTAACAGGCCTTGTAGGGCTTGATCAAGCGCAGTGTAACTGAGAGGAATTACTGAAACCCAAATGAAGGCTGAACTTGATAGTGGGATAAGACAAAAGGAAATAGAGGAAAGAACTAGGAGGCAAAGGGCATTTATAGAGGTCTAAATATAGGCATGTGCATATGTAAATATATTTATATATGATGATGGGGAAATAGATCTATGTGCATATATGTATACGTTTAGTACTAAAGTAGCAGATGGACATTGGGCCTCCACTCAAGTACTCCCTCAGTGCAAGAACACTTTGTTCTATTAAACTGACATTCCATGATGCTCACCCTCCTGATACAATTGCTGAAGACAGAGGGGGTACATAAGCAAATGTGGTGAAGAAAGCTGATGGTGCCCGGCTATCAAAAGATATAGTGTCTGGGGTCTTAAAGGCTTGAAGCTAAACAAGCAGCCATCTAGGTGAAAAGTAACAAAGCCCACATGGAAGAAGCACACCAGCCTGTGTGATCATGAGGTATCGATGGGATCAGGTAACAGGCATGAAAGAACAAAAAGTCATATCATTGTGAATGAGGGGGCATGTGGAGTGGAGACCCAAAGCCCACCTGTAGGGAACTGGACATACCCTTAAAGAAGGGTTGCAGGGAGGAGACGAGCCAGTCAGGGTGCAGTATAGCACCAATGAAACATACAGCTTTCTTCTAGTTCTTTAATGCTTCCTCCTCCCACTATCATGATTCCAATTCTACCTTACAAATCCGACTAGACCAGAGCATGTACACTGATATAGATAAGAGCTTGAAACACAGGGAATCCAGGACAGATAAACCCCTCAGGACCAATAATGAGAGTAGTGATACCAGGAGGGTAAGGGTAAGGTAGGGGAGAAAAGGGGAATCAATCATAAGAATCTACATATAACCCTCTCCCTGGGAGATGGACAACAGAAAAGTGGGTGAAGGGAGACATTAGTCAGTGTAAGACATGAAAAAAATAATACTTTATAAATTATCAAGGGTTCCTGAGGAATGGAGGGTGGGGGAGGGAGGGGAAAAATGAGGAGCTGATATCAAGGGCTCAAATAGAAAGAAAATATTTTGAGGATGGCAAAAAACGTACAAATATGCTGGACACGGATGGATGGATGGATGGATGGATTGTGATGAGAATTGTACGAGTCTCCAATAAAATGATTAAAAAAAAAATTTAGTAGTGAGGGCCAGGCCCCATCATGAGACACAACGTTCCCTCACTGACCCATAGCAGGGGGGGAACAGCACTGAAGACACTGCGGAAAGTGTGCCCCCTCTGCTCCATGCACAGGGGGTGCAACGCAAAGGGAGTGCAACAGCTCAGCAAGGGGGCAAAGTAACCAAGTCCCCGAGGAATCCTGAAAATAGACTCTGACTTGGGGGACAGGGCTTGGCACCTCATCAGACTTGATCGGAAAGCATTCATTAGGGTCAGCAGACAGCCCTGGAAATATCTATTGTTTTGGGGTTTTTTTTTCCTTGCTGTTTCTCCCCCCCCCCCCCCCAGCTCTGTGTCTATCTATAGACACAAACAATCCCAGGGAGAAAACAGTGGTACCAGTGGTTCTGGGGAACATGGGAGAGAAGTGGGCGGGAACGGGGAGTGTGGAGCCAACAAACTCGGATAAGGGAACAACAAAAGATCTAAAATTGATGGCAAGGAGGGCATATAATGCCTGGTGGGGTTTAATCAAGTGCAGTGTATCCAAGAGGAATTACTGAGAGCTGAATGGAGGTTGAGCATCATAGTGGGATAGGAGGAATGTGAAAAGAAATAGGAGCCACAAGATATTTGTAGAGGTATAGCTATAGGCATGTTTATATGTAAATATATTATGAAAGGGATAAAGACCAATGTACATATATTTATATGTCAAGTATTGAGATAGCAGATGGACTATGGGCCTCTACTCAAGGCCTCCCTTAACACAAGAACACTTTGTTCTAATAACCTAGCACTCTTTGATACTCACCATCCCAACACGATTGCTGAAG